TGTGGCTACACGCCTGTTTTTCTTTTATTAATATTATTATTATTATTATTAGTCCGTATAGTTTTAGTTTAATTTAAACTCTAGAACTTTCCTTCCTTCCGATTTCTTTGTTCCTTTGTCTCGGATTTCCAAGAATTCGCCTCACCCCTGACCCATCAGGGGGTAGCCTTAGACAAAAGACGAAAACGGGTCTGCGAGCGAGGAAAACAAAGGGTTTTTAGGCACTCTTAGGCCGGACTCGGAGAGAGAGAGACGTGTGGCAGAAGGCTCTGGAACAAAAGGTCGGAGGAGCGCTGCAGAAAGAGGCCGTAAGAAGCGCATTGATAGAAGAATTTAGTCGACGATTATAAGACAACGCCGAAACGGACCGAAACGGTTCTAAAAGGAAGAACAGCCGAGACGAGGAACTGTAGAGAACTACCAGGAAATTCGGGTACCCTCTGTCCTTTAATTCTTCTTATTTCCCCTTTCTATCTTTTCTATCTCCTAGTTTATTTTAGTTTTAAGTTAGTTTAAGTTTCCGCGCGCAACTACTTTTGTCAAGAGATAGTTATCGGAAAAGTAACTACCAGTATATTGGTATATCCGGTCGCTCGGGATTTTGGAACGTTTGTAAGTAACAGCGGGAATCCGAACTCATTTTGTAAATATATTAATGTTAGCGCGAAATTAAACTTGTTTCATTGGTAAAACGTGTCTGTGTTTTCCTGTCCGCGCTATACATTTTCACACCTTAATACTAAATTTACAGTAATATGGAAAAATGAAGATAGGGGCAAGTAGTAAAGATGGAAGATAGAGCAGAACAAAGATAGTCAGGTTCTGCAAATGTCTTTCAGTCCTCATTGTCTTGAGAAGCCACATGGAACGTCCTACACCAAAATCACACTTTCTTCTTTTTCTCCTTGTTTCTGAGGGCTAGAATAACCAATCTGTTGGTTACTTGAAATTGCAACTATTTAATTATGATACCAAATCCAGTACACTTTCTTTGGCCCAGGGATTTCTAAGATTTCCTCTAGAAGTCACAACTTCACCCATATACTTGGGTAATGGACAGTTCCATGCTCTTGCATTCAGTTTATCCTCTCTCTTTGAGTACCAGTTCCAAAGTGACCCTTTTTTTCACGATGTTTTTTTCAGGTAACTCTCAACTGGTTTGTTCAGGAAGTGACTCATACATTCAATAAAGGAATTAAGGAGATTAGAAAGTTTTTTGTTCTTTCTCCTTCTGCTGCTTTCAATAAAGGAATTAAGGAGATTAGAAAGTTTTTTGTTCTTTCTCCTTCTGCTGCTCCTACAAGCAATTTGAAAGCAGCAGAAGGAGAAAGAACAAAAAACAGCTTGGAAGCAGCAGAAGGAGAAAGAACAAAAAACAGGGAAAGATACTACAAAAAATGCTTGGAAGCAGCAGAAGGAGAAAGAACAAAAAACAGGGAAAGATACTATAAACTACAAACTAACTAAAATATACTACGATGTACAGACACAGAAGAAATTATGGTTTTACATTGATTAGAACATTGAAAGGACATTAAATAATATCACACCACACCGGGATAAAGTTATTAATGTATTTGGAACCAGTAACCTGTGTGAAAATACAAATAAAGAAACAACAAATGTTTTCAAACTCCTTCAGAGTTCTTCATTGGGTTTTCCAACAGTTAATATGTGGAATATCTATAAGAATGGCCTGTTGTTCTCTTGGGCCACACTCATCCTTTATACCCCCAAGTGGAGTGTTTGAAATGGTTAGAGGCAATAGAAATATTTAAAAATAATTTTACTTCATTATGCATAAATTTCAGGGAGATGGTTTTGTCGATGTCATGGTAGACTCTGCTCAATGAGGTGACTTAGCCTTTTCATTGAACCTTGATTAAATACAGGAATAGGCATGTGTGAATTTTTGGATTTTTGT